CGGGGGGGGGGCGCGGTGTATGGATCGCGACGCTCTGCTTCTGGGTCTGGCGGTATGAGGAGCTAGACGGCTGGGATGTCGCCGCTTGCTTCTTCACCTCCTGAAACCTCTCAACGACAGTATTGACTGTGCCGCCGAAGAGGCCAGAAATACCGGGGCATCCAGGAGGAAGAATCTGTCCTTGTCTTGTAGTTCGGACAGATTCAACCACAGGTGTCACTCCGTAGCCACCAGTGCTGCCATGGAGTTAACATGTGCGCTTGCCAGATGTGCCTTTATGCTTCCTGGTTGCTCACGTCACCCCGCTCGTGACGTCTCGCTTCTCTATTGGACTGATTTCACTCATGCTTCAGAACGTGGTCTCGCCGGGGGCGTTCCCAAAGCGTTCGACGCAGCTCGAGTTCCTGAAGGGGAACCTAGCATAACTTTGTTTGGCATCTTATCCTCAAATTCAATCTTTTGATTTCATTCACAGAAATGGACAGAGGAACTCCCGAGATAACAAATGGACCATTGACACTCCATCTACAATCTCAATTAGGAGCGTCAATGGTCCATTTGAGAGATAGGTGGCGGTAATTCACTTATAAGTCTGCGATCTGCCGTAAAGCAAGAAGAAGAAGACGCGAGCGTGCTCAGTACAGTTCAGTCATTGCGTGAATCAGAGGTAAAAAACTATATAAATACTGTTTAGTTTCTTGCACAGACTGTTCGTTTCGTGTCTTTACACATCAATGTATCGTCACGAGCCGCAGGGTTTTATGCTTACTGAACACTCAACTCCAGTGTACCGAGGTAAAGAACATGCAGATCTAACAAAAACCTGTGTAAATTTGTGTGCGAGATTGTGTCTATGTATGAATTTTCTCAATCAGATTCACAATGGTGTAAAACCAATGTTTTTAACCCTAGAGTGCAGGCTTGGTGAATCCAGAAACTGCATAGGGCACATTTTACCCACATTTCCTTTGGCTTTAAAGGCAGGGTATGTGATTTTTCAAAAACACTTTAGAAACCAAAAAAAGCTCCATATATACAACATGAAAGTTCTCTGTTCTATGCAAGGGAATGCTAAAATGTGTTACAACTTACACCCCTGTCATCCAATGTTTAGTTAGCTGTATTAGCATAATGGTTTGAAATTAGCAATTAAAAAATGCATCACATTTTGCCTGAGAATCTACAATTTATTCTAATGTAAGTTATATGATATAATCTGCAACAGTTTAAGTACTAAGTCAAATATAGTTTTGGTAAAAAAAAAAATTGGATTCTTACACCAAAATCAGTTTTTTTCTTTATAAAAGCTCCATATATCTATTTACAGCCTTGACAAGTAAGTTATATGATATAATCTGCAACAGTTTAAGTACTAAGTCAAATATAGTTTTGGTAAAAAAAAAAATTGGATTCTTACACCAAAATCAGTTTTTTTCTTTATAAAAGCTCCATATATCTATTTACAGCCTTGACAACCATTGATATAAGATCGGGGAGGAAGTGGGTAAATAATGAATTATCATAGGACTCCTAGCTTATCCCTGATAGGTGGAAATGGTGTTGTTACAACTCTCCCCATGTTTGCATCTCACTGCCAGATGTTACATTGTCATGTCCTCTCACTTTTTTAACAGTATCATCTGTTTCTGTTCCTGATCCATTACTCTTTTTTTCTTACGCTTATTAGTAGCCTTTTGCCACTCCATATCCCTATCAAGATCCCAACCATCCTCCTCAGATCCTGAAGCCATTCAGTTACATTCACAATATAGCTGTAACTCACCACTACCTCTCGTGTCGCCGCCTCTGAGATGCTTGGGCAGCAGCTGACTAAATTCCGCTTCATAAGAGTCATCACAACGTGTCAACATAAGATACCTCTAGTTTACAAATTATTATGGACTTCAGTTTTATATGCATACCATGCAGTATCCACATCGCACATCTGACTGCCTTTATTATAGCACATGAGTAACCTTGTGTTACGCAGTATACATTTTATAAAAGTTTTAGTTTTCTTCAAATATAGAGATGTCTGATAATGTAACTTTATAGGGACTGATAGACAACTCAATATTCATATATATATTTAACTCAATAATATATTCAATTTGATATACGGTTGGTAACATCTGAAGTTCCATCTAATGTGAATGTAGTTGACATTGAAAAAAAACCACACAACAAACATTTGTTAGGTAGGCTACTTGCTTTTATTCCCTTCCCATAAGAATAGCCACATTAATGAGGAATTCTCTTCTTTTGCAATCAGGCCTCACACAGTAATGAGATGGATGAAAAGAGGTCAGTACAAATATTTTACGTTAAACGCCAGTCGAGAACTGAGTTGCTCTAAATATAAAAAGTATTGTACTATTAATTCCTGACTTGTCAACATCATAACAAAAGGTAAAAAATATGCCCCCAGGAGTAAATACAATTGTGATATTACACAATAGTTTAAAGTACAGTATGTACAATTTCACATACAGTGGTAATGCTGCCGTTAAAACAAGTTGAATACACGAGCAGAATGCAATCATAATATGAGATACAGATGAGTAAATATATTATATTGTTTACACTTTCACTCGTATATTTACTCAAAAACAATAAAATGTCAAAGCCTTGAATTGCTGCGATCAAAAAATCTATATTTACATTTAATAAAAGGCCTATACACGTGCCATATGAGAGGCAGCAGAATAAATAATAGAAAACATTTTATTATTTTGTAACCTCTCGTCATAAAAAGAAACAAAAATCACCTTCACAAAACATAAATTCAACATGTCTAAAGAATAATACTGTTAAAGGTAAATGAAAAGGGGTCATATTATGACAATTAAAATGATCAAAGCTTTCTGTCTCCATACAAGGAACGTTCAAGTACATCTTTTTTTCTTCACAGATCTTGAGAACACTTTGAAAATCCTTCCTCTAATACACATATAGATGAGACACAATGAAAGGCTAGGTCATCTACAAAATATCCTCATAAAAATATATTCATATATTTCATTTATTGTGAATCCTAACTGACTAACCTTACAATAATACAAAACAATGTTTATATTTTCAATGTAAATGAGGGGTGAAGAAATTGATATTAGAATATGAAAGTGTAACTCATCAAGACTCTTGTACATTCTCATGAATCCCTCATTATACGCTCCAAAATGTCAATCTGAGAAATATTTAACTAAATTAACATGGTTATAGTCTGAGATGTGATTGTGAACACAAACCCTTCCAAACATATATCATTACCCATACACCTTTCAAAAATAATATTAAGATACTTATCTACTTTTTTGCAAAACCACATAAATAACAGAGCTGATGAAACAACGATCAAATTTAGCTTGATATCCCTATAAGAGAATGATAAACTATTCAGATCAGACTCAGAATTACTCCAATGAATGGCGGATGTGTCATAATTCTAAACCTAGATATTTATAACAAATAAATACATCACATTGGCCGACATCAGTTGTCTAAAATCATTCTGTGAACCAGCCTCTGAGAGAATGGATAATCTGTATGTAAATTACGTTTTATTTGATATTTTATTCAAAAAAGTAAATAATACTTAAAAAATGTCGAAAGTAATTTGACAAAATACACAGTGCAAAAAAATGATATGACATTGCTGTTCCAAACACTGCTAAACTCATAAACATTGGGTCTGCTTTCTTCTCAGTCAAATATATCAAATAAATACAAACAGCCATTTGATTTGTTGGGATTCTCCTTTTATCTATTTAACCAAAGTAATTCTCCACAGACGGCTGGCTGAATCCTAAAGGCACCTTGAATTAAGTCATTAAATTGGGTGTCAGTGGTTCCACATTCTTCATCTGCAATGACAAACGCTGATGATACATGTTTGGGTTTTCATCTGCCAAATAGATGCCACTATGCCAATGCTTTACCACAGCCTGCATAAATGAATCACAGACAAAATTATCTCTCAAAATAACATCTTTATGCCATGATACATGCCTTCAGCAAAACAAATGCTTAAGACTGAGAGGTGTTTGGCAAGGAACAATAAACTGAAGGCTTCAACAAGAAATAAATGAGCATAGCTGTGCAGAAAGCTACAAACAGACAGCGTCGATTTGACATAATTCTTGGTGCATGCCTTGTTTTCCTTCCCCTCGCTGATGATATACAATCTGATGTCATCTAAAACTCTGTCGTTTGTGCAATGAATTAAATAAACATATTCATATAGAGCATTTAACATTTACAGTCTGTCTAAAACATTTTCCACACAAGGACTTTTTGTAAGATTAAGCACGTGAAGAAAATGATTAATCGTACATAAACATTTTCCATAAAAGAGGATTTTGGCAAATAATTATGTTTCTGTTAAAAAAAAGAACACATGGTGAAATGATTTATTAATGTGATCCAGAGATTACACATCTAAAAGACTTCTGCCAAAACACAATAGAAAGAGACAAGCCAGTCACTATGTACAGGACAGTTTCTCAAACTGGTGATGAGCTTGATCCCAAAACATTAGTTCTGATACTCAAAAAAAGATTCTGAAAGAGTCTGTACACCCCCATTAGATGAACCATTCTTTCTTGCTTTCGTCGATGGTCTCTGTGAAATTGGCCTCGGTGCCGATAATGGCCGCGTCGGCTGACTCTGATGACTCTCCCCCCTTGGCCTCGTTGGTGTGGTAGGTGCCTTTATGGCGGAACATGTACCGGATCAGAAACACCAGCGTGCACAGATTAGTGAAGATCACCACTGCAATGATACCTGCAAGGAAAATACATTCGCCACAGTTAAAGGAACAGTTTGAAAGGAAAAGTCGCAGAAAATGTATGAAAATATATCCAAGACAACAATCCAAGTTTGTTTCTTTATTGGAACAGATTTGGGAAAATTAAGCATCATATCACTTGCTCACCAATGGATCCTTTGCAGGGAATGGGTGCTGTCAGAATCAGTTTAAACAGCTGATAAAAACATCACAATTATCCACAAGTAATCCATATGAATCCAGTCCATCAATAACATGAAGAGACAAGAAGAGAAAAGCTGTGTTTATAATAAAGAAATCCATCAAGACGTTTTTCATAAGATGTTAATTGATGGACTGGAGTCGTGTGGGTTATTGTGATGTTTTTATCAGCTGATTGGACCCTCATTCTGACGGCACCCATTCACTGCAGAGGATCAACTGCTGAGCAAGTGATGTAATGTTAAATTTCCACAAATCTGTTCTGATGAAGAAACAAACTACATCTTGAATGGCCTAAGAGTGAGTTAGCTTTCAGCAAATTTTCATTTTTGGATGAAATATTCCTTTAATGTATAAAAGAATATATATCTTAAAAGAAGCAATTGTTCATCAGAATTAGATAAGAAGAGTATGTATCCAGCTCACCTCCTATTATAGCTGAATTCCTATTTACTCCATCTGGTATCACTCTTTCTTCATTGAAGGGGAAATCAGCACCTGTAGGAGATCATAATAATTATAATAATTGAATGTCTATATAGTTTTATTAGTTTTAGTAAACTATAATAACCCTGATAGACTGAAAATGAATACATGTGAAAACACCGAACAGTCCGATGTGTCCGAGAAGAGAATTAATAATTTTCTCGATGCCAAATAAATTACAAGTAGATTATTTTTAGTAGATTATGTTCGTCAGATAAGTAAACATATAATAGTTTAATTTAATGCACCAATGTACTTATAGCTGAATAAAGCATATTGGCCTTTACAAAAGCCATTGTGCCCACTAACTGGCCATTGACCTTTTTAGAATTTTTGTTCTGTATCTTTTTTTCACGTTTAAATCAGACTGAAAGCAATACAATGAAATGTGGCAGTTAAGACGCACATTTAGGTGGCTTTCTATAAAGTGGCTTACAGCAGCTAGATCTCGTTGGTCAGGTCAATGCAATGCAATGATGCAATCAATAAACTAGCACTGAAAATGAAATGTCTTTTACACCACTCCTGGGAAATAATGCAGGACTGAGAGATTTCAGTGCATTTGCGGGACTTCAAGACCTCTTGGTTGTTTAAATGTGCTGACCTGCATCTAGGTGCCACGGGTCGGTTGCAGCAGACATGGGTGGGATCGTGAGGGGTGAAGCTCCGCAGTTGGATTCCACCAGTTTACCCTGGTGAGAGACAGGAACAGAACCACGGGACCTGAGAGTGGCTTTCAGAGGAGCAATGCTGTTGAACTGCACTCTGGACAGGCAACCCACAAACCCGGGGGTGTTGTATTTTTCAATAATCACTGGATCAATGTACCCGGTTTCTGCAAGAAGAAGAGATACAGATAGGCATCTAAAGTTAGACTAAGTGCGAGGGAATAATCAGCATCTAGATGTTTGAAATGTCAGACAGCCTGAAATACAAGATAACTCCAAGCCTTGTCCCAGGAAATGTGTTCCATTTCACTGCAATAAAAGGATAAGATCAATGCATGTTCATGTATAATGTACATACATCAGAAATGCATTACAGTGGCATCCTAAAATAAAACCTTGAGGGAACAACTGTATCTGAACAAAGAATGTATCATTTTCACTTGAATTACAAACATGTTGATAATAAATTGCTCTCTGCATGTATGCCATTCCCATTCAATGGTTTGCAGATTTTAAATGTAAACAATTAGTTTATTTGTTGCTATACTGAATATTTAAAGGAATTGTCCACTTAATAAAATTACTCACTATCATTTGTTCCAAACCTGAATAACTCTGTTTCTTCTGGATCTTTTAACCCTTTCGCACGTGAGTTTAAAATATTCTATTTGAGCCCCGAGCGTGAGTTTTTTTTTAGGCGACCGTTATTTTAGAATGTATTGCCTTAAATACCTGAGACTGTCGAACATGTGCTTATTAATTGTTCAAAATATGAATTACAGAGGATGGATATGATAAATGACATGGAAAAAATAGGACTAACAGGACGTGGAGTAAAGAATATAATGGACTGCAGTAGGAGTGAACAAGGAATTAAATATTTGATTTGCTTTCTGACTAAAACGGGACTCATGACAAGAATATGATGACTAAAGTATGTGGGAAATAACTAGAACCAGAAGATGGCAGTAATGCAACGTTAAGGATGCAAGCTGCCGTTATGATCTTTAAAAAAGCATCATATGACCCCTTTAACTAAAACTATTAAAAGTAGTTTACTTAACTAAAATAAATATGAAATAAAGCAAAAAAATAAATATTAGATGGAAAGCTTAAATGAAAATGAGAAATGTTGTTGCATTGGCAACTAACTGAAATACTATAAGCTGTTATTTTAAATATAAAAAGCAGTTTTTTTATATTTTAAAATAAGATGTTATTTTAAAAAATATTAAAATAATTTATTAAAGTAAGAAATCTGAAATGAATATAAATTAAAGCTAATTAGAATCATTAAAAATGACAAATGCACATAAATTACTACAATGTGAACTAAAATTAAAATGAAAACTGAAAATATAAAAAATACAAGCTAATTCAATTAAACAAAATGTTATAAAAGCATACAAATAATAACACCGATTTGTTTCCCACATAAGTCTCTCTTATGACTTCAGAGGGCTCATAATATAAGACTTATGTGCCACTTTCATGGTATTTGTGCTCTTTTTGACAAGAGCGACCAGAACATTCTTCAAAACATCTTCTTTTATGCTTGTAGGATCTCTGTCTTTGAACGGAGACACTTACACGATTGAGTCAATTGTTAAATCCGATCAACAAAAGAGAAAATTTTAGAGCTCCCTGTGCAGCAGAAGGATGGCAGATCCACACTCGCTCGACATGGGCATGACCTCCTTACAAATGAGTAAATTCATTACATGCTCTACAGAAGAAAGTAAGTCATACAGGTTTGGAACGACACAAAAGTGTGCAAATAACAACAGAATTTACATTTTTGGGAGAACTATCCCTTTAAACCTCGATTGCTGCTCAACAGTCCAAACCGATCTTTATACTCTATGATATTTAAATCCAAACAGCAGAGTAATCCTGACATAAGATTAAAACCCAGTCCTCCGGCATTTTCATAAAACACTTTCTATTACACTTCTACTCTTTTCTCCCCCCTCCTTCTTGTCTTCAGGCACACTAACGTATCCTGGTACCTTCAAAGTGCAGCAGAGATTTCCTCCACCAAACACAGACAAAAGAGTCCGTCTAACTGCAGCACATTACAGACGAAACCTCTTCAAACCTGTGTTTGTGAAGTCTCTTCAAAGCAGCTGCGGTGCGCAGCTAAATTCAGCATTCTCTCACCACAGCCAGGGGTAAAGTACACACTGTCTCTACGGTAAAAGACCGCAGATGAAAAACACACAATGAGAACAATAGATAAAAAACAAAGCAAGCTGTCTGTGTTGTGCATCAAGAACACTTCATAGGGATGATGATTTTTTATTCAGAGTATCACAGCAGTGGGGTTGCATCAGAGATGACAGTATCAGAGATTCAAGGTTGTGCGACATTCAGATGTGAATTAAGAATGTCTTTTGAATTGCAATTCAACTCCTGAAACTTATTTGCACCAATAAACAAGATGCACAATGAAATTTAATTTTTAAAATGAATTTATATATGTATAGTATAGTAATTTTATTCAAAAGTTTGGGGTTGGTAAGATTTTTTAAAATGTCTTTTATGTTCTCCAAGTCTGCATTTATTTGATCAAATATACTGCAAAAACTGCAACATTTCTTTTCAGGATTCTTTGTTGAGAAAAATTCACAAGGGACAGCATTTAAATAGATATTTTTTTGTAACACTGTAAATTTCTTTACTGTCACTTTTGATTAAATGCATCCTTGTTAAATAAAACAAATGGTTCCATAAACTGATAATAAACTGATCATTTAAAACAATATTTTTATTGTAACATGCTGCAGGGTACAAGACACAACAAAAGCATACAAGAAGTTCTACGCTCATGTGTTGCACTAATGAAAGTCAACAAACGTTCGCTACATCCAGAAATAATAGGCCAAAACACAACAATATTCCAAATGCTAGGTCTCACAGGGCTAAAATCGGATTTCACTCCCGATTCAGCAAAAAGAAATGGCCTCCCCACACAACTAAAGTCAACCTCGCAGCTCAATGCTCAGCAGAAAGTGAAGAAATGTGATAACATCCTCATGAATACTAGTCTCCATCTCAGATACTTGCTGGCACAAGCCAGACAGAACACTTGTTCATTTTCAGCAAGACTCCTATGAATACAATACACAAAATCTGATCTGCTTGAATTTCTGTTTCAGTGATCTGTTTCTCAGAGTGAAACGACTGGGGTAATAAGAAACAACAGAGCTGTAGAGACGTTACATATCTGATGTGAATGATCTCGTTAAATTCTATTATTGCCTTTGCTTTAAATTACTAGAATATGAAATTACAGAGAGTAATTTGAGTGCATCTCATTATGACACCACAGCATAGCAAATCAAACGATGTTCATTCTTGTCACATTCACATCCAAAATCTACTTTAAAACGCAAATATTTTCAATGATTTAAAAGAACATAGCTACCTGACTGGAAAACGCATTAAAGCTATTCAGGTTCATGTTTGTTGTATGAAATATAACACGTTCTGCTGTGTATTGGTTCCTCAGAGGCGTGAAATGTGGCTGGAATATTTATGAGAATTGACTGCAAATTCAGGTGGAAAGCTCTGGAGATTTCCCTCTCGCTCTTCATGATGCTCTGATTATTAGAGACACGCTGCAGTATTTGCACTTACATTACCCCTTGTTTTGTGCAAACTGGGCTTTAATTACATGGTTTTTACCCCCTTGATGAAATGTTTTATACTGCAAGCAGATGGACTCCAATCAGCCACATGCAGTTCTGCTTTCCTCCGACATTAAGAGGGAGGAGGGAGCACTGCAGTTTCTTTGTTCCTCAACGCTGCAAACTTTACCTCGAGTCATAGTTATGGGAACAAACAAACATTGATTTTCACAATTCCCACTAAAAGTTCATCATGGCCTGCTTCTATAAACACACAAATCCTGTTGTTTATCTCCCTGTGATTGACTGATAAATAAAAGCAGACAATTACAGCTGGCTGTCTGTGTCCTGTTGATCTTGGAGGGCGTATGGTGCTTTTAGTGTGGTGCAGAGCAATAAGATTCAGGTTAATTAGATTCAAGGTCAAGATCTGGCTGATATGAAGAAAGGGTGGATGGTGTGACCTGAAAGTGGTGGTGGCGTCTCCCCCCACCCAACATTACCACACCGCATTATTTCAGTGTGCTTGTGTGCAGCGTATGATAAAATAAGACTGGTAAACAAAGGCATCCAGAGCTGCAATTTTTGTTACATATTCGTGGTCAAAATACATTGTAAATATATGCTAAATATATGTTTTATAAATATATATAAGCAGTGAAGCTCAGTGAAAAACATTTTTTTTTTTTACATAGAAAATGTATTTAGTTTCAACCTGACTTTTTCTTCAAATGTGACATGTATTTTCTTGAATTGAAATATATAGACCAAAATATGTATAAATTAAATTAAAACGGCCAAAAATATTGTGGTGTGCCATTTTTTTGTAAAATTTGAATATATATATATATATATATATAAAAAACTGGCATGCATTTATAGCATAAAACTTGCTAAATCATAAAAAACATGATAATATAATTTCCTTGACAGCACCAACTTGTACTGCAATGCACCCACCCTTGTAGCCACCTGCTGTAAACGTTTCTTCCCGATTTATAATGCAGTTCGGTGTAGAAAACAGAGACAAGATACGCACTTGATCATACTGTAAAACTCACCAGAAGCAACTGATACTGCATTCCACAAACCATGTTCCTTACTGCAGTCAACACAATACAGTATATCACTTTAAAAACATTTCACGCTGAGAAGAGATATGTAGAATTATGCAGTGCAAGTAAAACTGCTATTTGAATACCCCTAAAATTATTTTAACAGCTCTTTTGTCTATTTCTATGCTGAGAAACGCTATGAATTATTCAGAGACATTAAAGTAAACACTGCTATCCTGGTAGGGGCCATTATTGCGGGGGAGAGACAGGGAAAGAGGGGGCAAATGAGGGATTGAAGACTGTCTTTTGATGGATGGGTTGGGAGATGGAGAGAAGGGGTGGGATGAAAGGGTTGCCTTGGTAACAAATGGAAGCCGGTGTAGCAGGAGTGTGAGAGAAAAGGAGGTGGGAGATGCTGGGCCAAAAGAAAAGTGATAATGTGAATTACAATGACACTGTCAACACATATCATGATGGCCTAAC